GGTCGCCAGCTTTATCTGTATTGAACACCCTAATAGTAGCTCAGCATTACTCCACCATTACGACAAAACGTTTCTTTTCAGGACCACCATAAATTTGTTTAAGAGTATTTTCTGGACATTTCTCAAGGTCATTAATCGGATATCAGTTCCCATAAGTTTCAATCTAACATACCATGTATTTTTAAGACAATTTACAAAAGGTCTCTATTGAAAATTGCACGAATGTGCAACTGTTGCGATGGCGATCAAAATTATCACCGATTGCCTGCATAAAGCGCTTTCCTTAAGACAGATTTAAAAATCGAATTCCCTCCTGTCTCGCCGAACGGTGTTTACTCAATCACCGAGCGTGGTGAATGGTGGTGTCCGATCGTCATCAGCAGCAGCAGTGCTTTCGGCGCGTGGCGTTTTCCAGTACATAATGAAAGGCTGTCCGCAAGCAGCTAGCTATCAAGGGTGCCCACAAGAGCCCTGGATTCACAGAGAAAGAGGTAGAAGCCGCACCACTACTGATCGGATTCAGTTGCGCATCGTGAGCCGCTGTGGGCCATCTATGCCAAGTGCGTCAACCTCGTTCCAAACAACATACAGCTCGTCAGCTTCATCAGTGTTGAACACCCTAATAGTAGCTCAGCATTACTCAGTCATCACGACAAAACGGTCCTTTTCTGGACCACCATAAATTTGTTAAAAAGCTCCTTCTGCAGTTAACAAATAACATTTTTCATATAAGACCACGTAGTCCTACGTCACCATTTCGTACAACCCCATAGGGCTGTCCCTTGTAGTTTTTTGATGTATGTGTAGTACAAATAGTGAAAATAGAACAATTGAACAATTAAGAAATTTAACAAATAAAATATGAATACGTCGCGTACTAATCAGAATCGCGAACGGATGGGATGAAGCTATATTCTCTAGCACGGACATCACAAACTAACACTTCTTCCTTGTGTGGCACGTTTCATTAGGCACCTAAGGCTTCTACTAAAAAAAAATGCACCATTTTTATCCGTGTGTAACTTTTTTATCCGTGGGTAAAAATTGATGAAAATCTGTGGTTATTGAGATGTCGTCGAAACAAGAAGAAAATCGCCGGATAATTTTGCGCGTCGTCATGGAAAATCCGACTGCGACCATGAGATGGATCGGAAGACAACTGGGAATCACCCATACAACTGTATCTCGGGTGGTAAAATCGTTTAAGGAGTCCCAGACGACCGAGCGGCGGGCTGAAAGTGGAAGAAAATCGAAGAAAGCTGACCCTGTGAAGGCCCGCAAGGTGTTGGATTATTTCAAGCGTAATCCGAACCTTTCGATTCGCGACGCGGCTCTGAAGGCAAAGTGTTCCGCCTGGTTCGGTCAGCAAACCATGAAACGAGCTGGGCTTCGTGTATTCAACCGGCGTGATTAACAAAACACGGCGGCCAAATCCCGCGCAAGGAAGCTGTATCGAGAGTGGTTAACGAAACCGATGTGTGTGGTTATGGATGACGAATCCTACATCAAGGCAGACGCAAAGCAGATACCGGGGCTGGAGTTCTACGTTACTAAATCACGGTTTGATGTTCCGGAAGACATAAGGAAGAAGAAAGTGGACAAATTCGCCAAAAAATACTTGCTCTGGCAGGCCATATGCCAATGCGGTAAACTGAGTAAACCGTACATCACAATGGGTACCATCAACAGCGAAATTTACCGCACCGAGTGCCTCCAGAAGCGTCTGTTGCCCTTCCTGCGGTCCCACGGAGGCGAGACATTATTTTGGCCGGACCTGGCATCATGCCATTACGCGCGATCGACGTTGGATTGGTACAGAGACAATAACGTTGTTTTTGTACCAAAAACCGCCAACCCCTCAAATTCACCAGAGATTCGTCCGGTGGAAAGATTTTGGGCCATAATGAAGGCCAAAGTTCGAAAATCGTCCAAGGTGATTAAGAACGAGTTGAAGAAAGAATGGATGAAAGTGACCAAAAAGGTCGGCTCCACCATTGCACAAAATGTAACGAGGGATCTTAAGGGAAAGGTGCGGGCTTTCAGCGATGCAAAGGAAATTGAATAAAGTAATTATGCCGAAACATAATCCATATGTATTAGTTCGTTCCCTGAAAGTTTCAGGGAACACTTTTGTCTGGTGCATTTTTTTCGAGTACTGGCCTTAGATTCACCTCAATCCAATGCATGAATTTGTATATTGTGTGGTAAGCACGATAATACTCTATGCCCAAGGAGGCCGAGAAAATTTTCAACCCGAAAGATTCCCACGATCGGACAGGGATTCGAACCCACCGCCTCTGGCTTGGTAATATGTACCGTGCCTTTACTGACTAGGCTATGAGACCCCGGTAGAAAACTCATCGGTAATCTTAAAACAATGCAGCGGTTGTACTTTTTTTTTCCTTCATTTGTTTTCCGTCGATCTTGTTTTCCGTACTGAATACCAGTGTACCGACGCCAGGGAGCCAGCTCCCACACCTGGACCCTACCCTATTGACCCATCAACTCATGGACCCGGGACCAACGGCTTTACTTCCCTTCCGAAGGAAGGCCTGATTAGAGATGTTATGACTCAGAAATACCCCACAGGCACCGACTGACATTGAATCCCAGGCCTTTTGGAGTGAGAGGCAATCACGTTTACTACTACACCACCGGTGCCGCAGTTGATTTACTGTTGGTATCGATTCCATTTTCACACCATTTGAAATATTTAAAGAGTTTTAAGGATATAGATTTTATACAACTAAAAGAACTAAGCACAAAAACAAGTGTACCGACCAATCGCGGTCCTACATCAACCTTCTGTTCGTGCCCCTAGGCACAGACTCTAGTACTTTTTTTTCATTTTCATATCTTTCGTGTAAGCTTTGGGAACTTATCTAATAAAATTGGGGAAAATTATATAAGAAAGGTTTTGTAAACCTGTTAGAACACTAGAAAAAAATTGGGTCATCTTTGGGTTACGATAAACAATTATCGATTTAAAAAAAAAAATTTTTGCTTCGATATAACGAAACGTTGCTTTATATCGAGGTACGACTGTATATAATTCATAGTTGATTTAGTGAGGCAGCCGATAAGGAGAATCGTTGAGATCAACTTTTACAATTTAATAAATCTTAGGATCAAGTAGGGTGTTCTTAACAATCAAGCATCTAACTATTGACAGTCATGAAGTGATACTTCAATACAAGCACTCTTGGTCGCTCGTTGTGAATGTACGTACCTACCATCCTTTTGTTTAGAGTTGTTTACCCAAAGTACACTCGGTGAGCAGCCGCGTCAGCACATCGCCAATTTCCCCTGGATAGGAACCACGACAAACAAGCACACGACAATTAGCAATTAAAACCACACACGAGCTCAAGTTCAAGTGTGAAGAGTTAAATAGCCTTGCACTCTTTTGTTAACGCAAGTTGAAATTCGAAAGTGCACCTCTGCCCCTCACAACTGGATTCCGGCTGTGTACGACAGCTCCTGTTCAGGGTTGCCAGATATATTTTTTTACAAATAAATCAGGATTCTTCGGGATGGCGTTCAGGGCCTACCGTAGAACCCCATTTGTTTGAATAGCTAAAATCGCAATTAATCGGCGGTCATATCGAATTTGTTTAACTGACGCGTAACGCCATTGGGCACCTCTGTAGGGGTAACAGGTAAGCAGATTCTAAATGAGCGCCTACTAACAGGGTTCTCCGGTACGTGTTTTAAAGAAAAGTCTTAAATACATGTCGCCAATTTTGGAAGTGGTCAGCGGGGGTTGGGCATCAATTATAATAAATCATGATATATGGCATCCCTGTTCCTATCTCGTAAGCTTAGCGGGCAGCAGGGTCAGAAGAAAGTTGAGAAATTCTTAATTGCTAATTCAACGAGAATATTGCACCGCACTCTCGTAGAAGTCGAACAACAGCTGATAACAGTGGAGCTGTGGGTGCTGAAGCATCATAATACATACTGTGGTGGTGATGAAGAGTGCATCTATTCAAGAATGTTTTGCTATGACCGGTCGCCATTTTTTTTCGAGGTTGATGTTTTCTCGAAAAAAAATGGCGACCGGTCATAGCAAAACATTCTTGAATAGATGCACTCTTCATCACCATCACAGTATTATGATGATTCAGCACCCACAGCTCCACTGTTATCAGCTGTTGTTCGACTTCTGCGAGAGTGCGGTTCAATATTATCGTTGTATTAGCAATTAAGAATTTCTCGATAAAAAACAAATTTTCCCACTCACGTGTTGGTCGCTTTGAACGATGAATTGGCAGAAAATAACGGTCACATTTCCGAGAATTCCAAACAGCCTTGCGATTTATGTCTTTATCAGCTGTCAAGTGGTTCGCCGTGTGTTGTTGATATGACGCTGTTTGCTGTTGGTTGGTACCTACTTTCGTATCAGTGCGCAGAGATTCAACTGCGAAAGCTGTATCATTACTATTTTTCGAACCGGCTGCGCAAATGTTTACAAATTCTGAAGTGCAACGTCTCGTGATGACTGCAACTTACTGGCATTGTTGTGTGGTCAGCTCAAACTAACGGCGACTATTATTACACTTGATTAATATCCCCCCATTGGGGTTGATGACGGTTTTTGATGGTGGTCATGATCATTTCACTCTGATTTGTGCAATCAAGGCAAATCATCGATTCAGAACTTCTTCAACTGGCTTTGCGAAGAAGGTATTGATTTGCTTCGTCATTTCCTTCCTATTCAAGTTGAAACGCCCAGCGCAAAAGTTAAACGTGCAACGGCAGAATAGTTGGTGTAATGCAAATTCCAAGTCGATCGAGTGGTGGTTAGTAGATACTAGAATAAATGTCGATTTGTGTTTCCTTAAAAAAATATTCCCTTCACCGATACGCATAACTGCCCCATGTTCTATATAAACCTTATGGGCTGCGGGCCACTTATGCGATTAACGGCAGCGAACAGCTCGCAAATGACTAACGTTTTATTATATTTATGGTCTTCCTTTTTTTCTGATTTCTTCCAGATCGTTTGCAACAACTAGCACGTTCTGGGGAATCCCAGTTTCGTTCATTTGGTGGCTTGCTAGCTAGGCAGAATTCGGTTTTAAGTGGAGTTTCAGGATTTACTTCGGATTTCTCGAATTCCTTCATTGGTAAGTAAATTATTACGCTACTTATTTGTCATTGTTCATAACCTGTAAATTTAGGCTCAATCGAATAAACTTAACAGAGCCAAGTTATCATTTGCGTTATACATTATTAATGCAGGGTTGTTACGACAACGCGGATTTCACGGTTTTCGCGGATTTGCTTATTAGATTTGTTCAATAAAATTTGAATTTTGTATTAATTTTTTTAAACATACTAATATACCAACAATTAGTTAAACATTAAACATATTCAAAAAATGAATAAACTACCATGAGCCTGTTTATTTTCATTGCCAGGGTAATTTATTCTCAGGGCCAGGGCAGTTAAATAGTTCCACCACTTCAAAAACGACAAAGCAGCTTGCTTTTTAAGCTCTGACTGATGTTGAGTTGGTAACTTAGTACATCAAGTTGATATTACTGCTACCGGATATCAAAAAGCAGGTTCTTTTTGTGATAGGATCAGCAGAAGAGACGGAAAATTTGCTGAAGTTTCTTGAGACGAATGAGTTTATTCTTTTCGACATATATGATAGGATTCATTCATTTTTGGTCACTATGATGTCAAGAGTTTACAGTCCAGGAAAAATAACAGAAGCTGTCAGGAACAAAAACTAAAAGAAGACAATTTTCTTTAGGATTCAGAAGTTATTGTTTTCAAATACATACTTGATGCTGCTGGACATCAATTCAAATCATCTCAATTCAATAAGAATGTTAAAGAACACACGAAATCTTTTGTGTCGTATTTGTTTGCCCAAGATGTTCCCAATGAATTTGTTCGATTTATCAGTAACTTCAAGGTTCGCAGGATCATTAATAAGGACTCCATCAAGGAAATCGTCCGTTTAGTCAAAAATAATTGATTTCAAATGAGTCAAATCTAAGATACACGAATAACTCGTACATGCAAGTGTGAAATTGGTAGGTCAAACGTTTGATTCAGATTGTGATTTGGAAATTCTGGATCCTCTATTTAGAGATGGAAGTTTCTCAGAACTCAGCACATTGTTTAACATTGTAACATGCGTATCGCATTCCAATGCAGAAGTAGAAATGAAGTTTTCACTATCCAAGCATGCATTTTTTGATAATGATGTAACCAAATTTGTTGTTTCGAAGGACTTAATTTTGAATGCCAAGTTCGCGAGGAAATCTTACGAAACTAAGTGTAGGTATTATAAGTAGGACAGATTAAAAATTAAAAATATTATATATATATATAGCCATCCGACACTAAGCAGGAACAAAAGAAAGAAGCTCAGAAAAAGAAGAAAAAATAAAGGAAGTTAGTCAGACACCACATTAAAAGGCAAGAAGAAGAGATTGGAAAGAAAAGAAAGGCAAAAGAAGATATTTTTAATTTGATGGAAAAAGAACTCAGAACAATGACATCAGAAACATCATTCCTAAAAGTTCTGTTGAGGCAAAAGATAACATTGAGCAGGACGAAAAATCAGAAAAGTTGGCTAAAATTAATGCTAATGAATATTATTAGTGTTTTGATGCATACATTCAATAAAATAAGTGCTTGTTATATCATTGACAAAAAATTAACGTTTATCACTGACAGAAGTCTCCTTTACTTTATTTGTTGTCCTCCTGCAATCCTATATCTTAGGTTATTTCTTGATTTCGTCTGAACCTGGGCGCAAGTCATATTTCGGTCGACTTACGCTATTTTGATATAAAGTCCGCGCGGATTTAATTTAGAATTTCTCGTAACAACCCTGTTGATGTCTTAAATCTAAAATTAAAGGATTTGAACCGATTACTCGTGGTCTTCTGGAGGTTAGTGGATGACAATTTTATGGATTTGTAGAGGGAGAAGAAGATTTGGAATGTAATTTACTTCATCCTATCAACGTTATAACAACTCTGTAATTATACAATTATTACAGAAATAAATAAACAAAAAATACACACACACACACACACACACACACACACACACACACACACACACACACACACAAACTAAACACAAGATTAATCAAACTTACAATCTAAGGTTAATCAAACTTACAATCTAGGGTTAATATTCTTCAAGAAAACATATATGAGTTTCATAAACTCCACATCGCGTCTACCCAAAATATCCTGAACTGGAACATTAGGTTGTCTACCTCGAGCCCGAAGGGAATCGTGCAGCTCAGATCTGACTCCACGATGCTCAGCACAAGACCAAATTATGTGATCTGCGTCCTGGTAACCTTGTCCACATTCACAGAGATTGCTGTCCCCCAGCCCAACACGTAACAAGTGAGCGTTTAACGAGTAGTGATTGGACATGAGGCGAGACATCATACGAATGAAGTCTCGACTCACATCCAACCCCTTGAACCAATGACTCTTCGACACCTTACGGATGATCGAATGTAGCCATCGTCCCAAACTCCCTTCACTCCATTTATTCTGCCAGCTGGCGAGTGACTGTTGATGATGCATGAGCGTGATTGACCGCCCACGGTTATTGCCAGACCAGCTGTAATGACACAGAGAACCAATAGACGATGCTTGGGACTAGCAATCATCCTCAATGTGTAAAAACTGGTGATCTCAAACTAGGCAATACCAGCGCCGGCCGCACCCGAACACAGGTCAAGAAAGGAAGTGGTAGGAATGTGTTGAGGTGACACTCGCTTTGATGGAAGCCGAGAACACCTCTGCACTTCCACGAGGAATCACTGGGATATTGGGTAATTGGGTTGGGTTTACAGTAGGGTTCGTTTTGGTAAACGATAAGCTTAATTGATGTCCTAACAAGTAACAATCATATAACGCGAAGGAGCTTGGGATTGAACCCACGATCTTCTGCTCAATAAGCAAAAACGTTTGCCACTAGGCAGACGAGCTCCTTTTTAATCATCGAGTTGCATCGAGTTAACAAATAAAACGATTGACGAATCTTGAATGTGGATGGGCTTGAGATTAGACTCATGATGTTCTGCTCAGTAAGCAAAACCGGTTGCTCTAAGGCCACCGAGCCCCTCATATCACATTATAGCGTTACTCAAGTTTTTATAACTATTCAAACCCGGCACCGACAACAACGAAAAGTTTTACAAAATATACGATAGACAAGCGATCTTACCATACATTTTCAATATGAAAGGACCTGAGACCGCGTTTTTTCTGCGCAGTAATCAAGCCACTGCAACCGACGATCTTTGAAATCCTAAAACTAAAAACTACGAACGAGTACTTAGGCCGTCATTAAGATCCACTTTCACGCGACGTTCAATGTTAAAAAAATACGCGATAATTCATATTTTCAGCGGTTGATGGTTAATTTTGAATATACTAACGGTACTGCCTACGGTGACTACGACGGCGATTACGACAATGACAACAGTGAATTTGTAACTTACCATTTGTCTATGATATAATACGTTTGCCCGGCACCTACACTGGTTCTCAATGTCCGATATATGTCACTGATTGCAAAAATATCTAATAGACGAGTAACTGTTGATGATAAATGAAGAAACATTCATCGTAGGCCATTTGTCGATCGTAAATATCGCCTTCCACGTTTGCAAGCGAGTCCGCCTTCTCATTGCCCGGAATCGAGCAATGAGATGGGACCCATGCAAAGTGATGACAAAAGATCTTAAAGATAAAGCACTTAGAAGCGCTCGTATTTTCATGAGCAAATACGAGGAGTGCTTTACCCTGTAAACTTTATAAAACATCATAAAATTGCACTAAATTATAAAAAGTCTGCAACCTTCACGGAAATTTGCGAACCTATGCGAAGTCCGCAAATTTCTGGGAAAATGTGTGAACTTCAAAAGTATTCTGCCAATTTCAGTAAAGTCGGTGAGCTTCAGGAAAATGATTTTCAGATAATTTCAAATAGGGGAAAAGTTGGCTTCGGCAATACCTTTACCTATTATCGTCAGGGGGGGTGAACAACGTTCTTGAGAGCTCAATTTTGGCATGTGGATACATTGTGTTTCAGAGCAACTTTTGGCCAAATTTGAGTGCTCTAGGACTTTGTTTACCCCCCTGACGATAATAGGTTAAGGTATTGCCGAAGCCAACTTTTCCCCTAACTTCTGGAAACTTTCGAAAATTTCAGAAAAATTTCAAGAACTCCAGGAAAATTCTGCGAATTTCAGGAAAAATCAGCAAAACTTCAGAAAAATCTGAGAACTTCAGAGAAGTCTGTGAATTTCAAGTAAGTCTACGAACTTCAGGAAAATTTTATATAATTTGAAAAAATATATGTGAATTGCTGGAAAATTCTGCGAATTTCAAACATATTCTGTCACCTTCAGTAAAGGCGGCGAACTTCATGAAAATTCTGAGAACTTCAGTAAAGTCTGCTTCCGCCAGGAAAATACAGGATCAACCTGAGGTCTTGAAAAAAAATTCTTAGGACTTCCGGGAGGCCTAGGATCATCTGTTGGTTTTTTTAAATAATTTCTGATCAAAATGTGCTCAACTTTTTGACTCAGCTCTGGTACTATCTTCGGTCCCAAGCTAATCGATGCACCCCTCGAAACATAGAAAAATCCACTAACCCCTCATTTTATCTGTCAAACTTTCATAGCGAATCAAAACAAACATACTGTAGTACTAGAATTTCAACTAGAATGGGATACGTTAATCGTTTGCTTGGGGCCAATAGGCTAGTCAAGTAGTGAGCCAATTTAAAATCGTTAGTTTCGAATTGATTGTTGGTATTACTGATCTCGGTAGTCTCATACAATTTAATTATTCGGTGTAGTTTAAGAATGTTTGAAAATTAATGAAAATCTTTAATAGAATTGTGAGCTTGTATGTGCTCAAATAAATTATTTTAATTGCTTAAACAAAGAACATAGTCTTATCCAGCTGCATATGTATTGCATAAACATTACAGATGCACTACTGTAAAAACTGTCAAAATTCTACGAATTTACACGCCAGTGTTCGCGAGATTCTGCTTGGCGATCTGAATTTTGATGATTTTGGGCAGCCCCTGTGTTGAAGTGGGATCCAAAGGGACGGTTTAC